AGGTATCTGATTATTTATTCCATATTGAGATACCACACATTGATTTATCACTAGCCTTTTATCCAAGAGATTTCTCAGACTTTCTTAGAGGATTAGTCTGCAGAACCTCTTCTTCACAGAGCTCCAAATAATCAAGCACTCTCCTTGCAGATAATAGAATTACAGAAATTAATATTCCTGTGCTAATATTCCAGGAAGAAAGGAAAAACAGCCACAGTCATGTCACAATAACAGCAGCTGCCAAGTTAAAGGAACTGGCTCCAATACACAGTGATGTTTCCTTCAGAATACACCCGTTTCTTTTATTTTCTTAAAAACGTATCCAGAACGAGAGCTGACTCTGAGACCCACATCACTCACAGCTGTGAGCCTGGTTGTTGAAATCTTCCAGGAAGCTGTGTGCTGCCGTCTCCCGGCTTCAGTGAACGCAGTCATGAGTCAGTCCACCAAATGTGGGAGCACAGCATTAAGATCAATGGGAAGAAGTCACTGATGAGGCACTTTTCACTTAGTTGTAGTGCGAGAGGGGGAAATATGAGAATGTCAAAGATATTTCTGACAAATTTCCTGATGTGGTAATTCCAATTTTCATTTACTTATTTACTGTTGGTCACTTTAAAATACTGATTGTAGTAATAGTACTTAATATTTATTATTTACTACAAGCTAGGCAACATTGTAAGTAGTATTCCCTATACTTTCATTTAATCCTCAAAAAAGAACTCTGGGGGCACCTGGGTGGCTCAGTCGTTAAGCGTCTGCCTTCGGTTCAGGTCATGATCCCAGGGTTCTTTCTGGGATCGAGCCCTGCGTCGAGCTCCCTGCTCCGCGGGAAGCCTGCTTCTCCCTCTCCCACTCCCCCTGCTTGTGTTCCCTCTCTCGCTGTGTCTCTCTGTCAAATAAATAAAATCTTTAAAAAAAAAAAAACAAACTCTGACAGAGGTACTATTATCATTCCTAATGTTATAAAGAGACTAAGGCATAAAGAGTTCTAAAAAGTTGCCCAAGGCTACCACTGAGTAAGCAGCAAAGCTCAAATTCAAACCCACACAATCTGTCTCCAGAGTCTTCACTCTTAATCACTATATTCTCTGAAGTTGATCATGTTCCTAGAGAAATAAGCTAGGAATTATTCAGTGACTTATGTAGAGAATATCACTTTCATCCATCTTCTGAGATGCTCCAGAAGAAGTCTAGGACCACACTGAAACTCCTTTTTGTCACCTATAACCCCACTTCTTGAAGGACAGAAAACATCAGTTTATGAATATGAATATTTTCCACAACAAGTAACAAAATTACTTGAGATTCAGGCATGATTATTTTAAAAGACCAAATATAAGAAGACATACAAAATAAGAAAAGTGGGATGGATATGCCATAAATTACAGGTCTTTAGAGTCTGGATAGCAATTAAAAAAATAATAGCAGGGAACACCTGGGTGGCTCAGTTGGTTAAGCTTCTGCCTTCTGGTCAGGTCATGATCCCAGGATCCTGGGATGGAGCCCCGCACCAGGCTCCCTGCTCAGTGGGGAGCCTGCTTCTCCCTCTCCCTCTGCCCCTCCTCCCCACTCATGCTCTCTCTCTCTCTCTCTCGTTCTCTCTCTCACTCAAATGAAATCTCTTTTTAAATAATAATAATAATAAGGACAACTGCTGTACCTTTAAAGTGCCAGGTCCTGTTCCAAGCACCTTAGATGGATCAGCACACTGTATCTTCACAACTTAGTGAGGGAAGCGTCATTATCCCATACAATAGATGAAGCAGCCCAGGCACAGAGAGGGTTACCTAGAGAGTGAGGAGCAGTTCCAGGCACCCTCTTCCAGTCGGCCTAGCAGGCCCTTTGTGGTCTGGCCCTTGACCTCCACCTCAGCTCCTACTCCTCTCCCTTGTTCATTCTGTTCCAGACTGGGTGTTCCTTCCATGCTCCCTCTTCAAGAAGTTTCCATTTATATTTCCTCTTTTATCAGAGGCCTTCCCTAACTTCTTAAAATCACAGCCCACTCCCCTGATGCCAGTCGTGAGCACATATTTACTGAATGAACAAATAAACAGACCTATGTCAACACCATTCCCTCAGAGAGGTGCAGTGATGTTTGACACTGAGAAGCTGCTTTTGCACAGGTGTTATGTATTTGCTTTCCTTTCCTCACAAGTCTTTGTTCAGATCTTTTTTTTTTAAGATTTATTTATTTATTTGAGAGAGAGAGAGAGAGAGCACAAGCGGGAGGGGCAGAGGAAGAGAGAATCTCAGACTCCACGCTGAGCACAGAGCCCAATGTGGGGCTCAATCTCAGGATGCTGAGATCATGACCTGAGCCAAAACCAAGAGTCAGATGCCCAACCAACTGAGCCACCCAGGCACCCCTGTTCAGGTCATTCTTCAAAGAATGGGAGCTAAGGTTCCAAGATAAAGGATTAACTCTAGAAAACAAAAGATACTTCAGTGAGAGAAACTGGTCTGCATAGCCATATTACTGCAGATGGAATGTCCCTCTTACTACCCTAAAAGATAAAGGACATAAGACCAATAAGGATCAGGACTTACTCATACCTTTACTTCTTTTTAATTTTTTGTATTGTTGTTATTTAGTCGTAAATCTAACACTTTCACAAAATGCATTTGGACAAAGAAGTAATAATATTCTTTATAAGACTGTAACAAAATAAACAAATAATACTAAACACTAAATTGTCTGAAGTTAAAAATATGCCAAATGCCTACAAACTTGAGTGAACTGCAGTACTCAGTTTTCATGGGCTAATCTCAAATTAGTCTTCAAATTATTTTTTTTATTATGATGAAGGAAATGTCAGTTCAAATTAGGCTAAACAGATAACAATCTTGGAGATGGTTTAAAGAGAAACCTACATTTTCAAAAGGAAGAAATGTAAACACTAAAATGCATAAGAAAAATGTTCATTCTCACTAATAAAAGAAACATGAATAAAATAAGGCATCATTTAAAATAATTCCTCAGATGGAGGAAAAAATTAAATTATAGTAATCAATAATAGAGAGAGTCCAAGGAAATTTGAATCTCATAAAATTGCTGGTGGGGTAAGACCTTAAAAGAGGACAATCTGACAAAATTCATTACAGACTTGTAATTTTACACACACCTTGGCCATTATTTCCACTATTATGAATTTATGCCAAAGAAATAATTCTGGATGTTGGAAGATTTTGTTAGATGTATGCTTATTGTAGTGTTATCCTAAAGGTGAAAAATTAAGAAACAATCTGATTGTGACACAGAGAACTTGATTAAGCACATAATGGAATATTTAATAGAATGTTTGCCCTCTTTTACTAGGTAGCCATTAAAATCATATTATTGAAGAATATTTAATGACATGGGAAATATTTACAGTATATATTTTAGTAGGAAAAAGCAAATGATAAATCACAACAGTATGAATCCATTAAATATACAGAAAAATCCTAGGAAAGCCACAATAGTTACAGGTTTACTTGGATGATTGAATTATAGATAATTCTTATATTCTCCCTTTTGTTTACATGCATTTTCTAATTTTTCTCCAAAGGATAAAGATTAGTTTTTTACTAAGAAAGAAATAATTACTTCATTGAAAAACTTCTTGATAAAGGACTTTAAGGAAATTCGCCTTTCACTGTATTTATCTAAGGTAGTATGATGGAATTATTTTTTTATGGAGAGAGGCTCCTGAGGGTAAAGAGGTAGGATTCATCTCTTGGACAAAGGGGAGCAAGCTCTTGAGAGATTACAGCTTTCATTCTATCCTCATGTTCTGTGGTTAAAAATGCTGCCCACATGCATAGCCAATGTTTCCTCTACTTTTTAAAATCTAGTTTTGCCTTACCAAAGGTTTAAATAATGGTAGAATTACAGTAAATAAACAACTGTTCTGGCACAGTTATATGAGTATAACAGAGGCTTAGAAAGTTAACTTTATTTAGAAGCACCTTGGGAATAGCTAATTCACCTGCAGGAGTTTAGCCAACTTATTCTCTCAAATTGCTTCTAGAATACGTCTTAGCTATAGTTCCAGAAATACAGAAATAGTTCCTTAAATGAAGCCCGTTCACTTAATTTGAATGACAGTTCCAAAACTGAATACCTGAGGTTGTTTTACTGATAAAGTAAGGATGGTCAAAAGGATAGTTGGTAACAACATTTTAGAATAGATCTTCATTTTTAGGGTATTCATCAAGTGCACTTTGAAGGTAACATATATAGTTTTGAAAGACTAAGTGTACGGTGATAAAAGCCAAAGAATCCCCTGAAACACTTTTCCTGGTTAATTTTTATTTAACTAGATGCAAATTTAATCAATTATAAGAAATCAAACTCCCATAGGGCCAGACACTATTGGTTGTTGTGGGACCAAATAATAATGAGAAGTTGGCTCAGTGAAAACACAATCATGGCTGGGTCAACATTAATGTTTGAAGCAACTAGAATATCTAGAGGCATCTAGAGTCAGAGGCCATCTAGAACCCTAGGGGAATGCTGGATATTTATGCTGGCCAGCCACAGGACCTTCTCTCCTGGCCAATACCAAGGACCATTTTGACTTCTGTTGTATGCACTGTTCATATTATTCATCTTCTAAAAGTTCCGAATAATATTTAAAAATCTATGTAATAATAAGTGCAATACAGTGTAATGATTAAGATTAGACAGCACAGGGTTTAGTTCTGACTCTACAGCTGATTGTGACCTTGGGCAAGTTACTTAACTTTCCCAAATCTATTTAATCTGTAAATCTGGGGCAATAAACTTAGCTACAGAGTTATGAGTACTAAATGAATGCTCTAAAATGGCAAAAAATGAGCATTCCAGAAATGATAGTTAATGCTGTAAGGGTGAATATGCATTCTGAAAAGTCCTTTAGCTCTTTATTTGAACCAGTATATCTAGAAAACACAGAAAATTACATAATGTGACTTAAGATGAAGACGTTATTACTCTTAGTCTTTTGAGTATTTTAAAATGCTTTAAATGAACAATTTTGCTTTTCCAGTCGGGCGCTGAGTGGGTCTTCGGATCATGTCTGGTGGCTCCGCGGATTATAACAGAGAACATGGAGGCCCAGAGGGAATGGACCCTGATGGTGTCATCGAGAGCAACTGGAATGAGATTGTTGATAACTTTGACGATATGAATTTAAAGGAGTCTCTTCTTCGGGGCATCTATGCTTATGGTTTTGAGAAGCCTTCAGCTATTCAACAGAGAGCTATTATTCCTTGTATTAAAGGGTATGATGTGATTGCTCAAGCTCAGTCAAGTACTAGCAAGACAGCCACATTTGCTATTTCCATCCTGCAACAGTTGGATATTGAGTTCAAGGAGACCCAAGCACTAGTATTGGCCCCCACCAGAGAACTGGCTCAACAGATCCAAAAGGTAATTCTGGCACTTGGAGACTATCTGGGAGCAACTTGTCATGCCTGCATTGGTGGAACCAATGTTCGGAATGAGATGCAAAAACTGCAGGCTGAAGCACCACACATTGTTGTTGGTACACCAGGGAGAGTATTTGATATGTTAAACAGAAGATATCTTTCTCCAAAATGGATCAAAATGTTTGTTTTGGATGAAGCAGATGAAATGTTGAGCCAAGGGTTTAAGGATCAAATCTATGAGATTTTCCAAAAATTAAATACGAGTATTCAGGTTGTGTTGCTTTCTGCCACAATGCCAACTGATGTGTTGGAAGTGACCAAAAATTTCATGAGAGATCCAGTTCGAATTCTGGTGAGAAAGGAAGAATTGACGCTTGAAGGAATCAAACAGTTTTATATTAACGTTGAAAGAGAGGAATGGAAGTTGGATACACTTTGTGACTTGTACGAGACACGGACGGTTACTCAGGCTGTTATTTTTCTCAATACAAGGCGCAAGGTGGACTGGCTCACTGAGAAAATGCATGCCAGGGACTTCACAGTTTCTGCTCTGCATGGTGACATGGACCAGAAGGAAAGAGATGTTATCATGAGGGAATTCCGATCAGGGTCAAGCCGTGTTTTGATCACTACTGACTTGTTGGCTCATGGGACTGATGTGCAACAAGTGTCATTGGTTATAAACTATGATCTACCTACCAATCGTGAAAACTATATTCACAGAATTGGCAGAGGGGGTCGATTTGCGAGGAAAGGTGTGGCTATAAACTTTGTTACTGAAGAAGACAAGAGGATTCTTCGTGACATTGAGACTTTCTACAATACTACAGTGGAGGAAATGCCAATGAATGTGGCTGACCTTATTTAATTCCTTATTTAATTCCTGCATTAATTAATGCAGTGCTCGCTGTTGCTGAATAGGCGATCACAATGTGCATTGTGTTTCTTTCTTTGGGAATATTTGAATCTTGTCTCAATGCTCATAATGGATCAGAAATACAGATTTTGATAGCAAAGCGACTTTAGTCGTGAGCTCTTGTGAGGAAAGGCATTGGCTTTATCCTCTTTAGAGTCAGACTGTTGGGGTTGGGTATAAAAGATGGGGTCTGTAAAATCTTTCTTTCTTAGAAATTTATTTCCTAGTTCTGTAGAAATGGTTGTATTAGATGTTCTCTAGCATTTAATAATATACTTGTGGACTAAAAGATATAAGTGCTGTATAAAATCAGCCAATTATGTTAAACTAGCATATCTGCCTTTATTGTGTTTGTCATTAGCCTGAATAGAAAGGCCTTCAAATTGATTTTTTTTTTTTAGAAAGCATTTGAATGCATTTTGTTTGGTATTGTATTTATTCAATAAAGTATTTAGTTAGTGTTAAGTGTAAACTGGACCCTGTTGCTAAGCCCCAGCAAGCAATCATATCCTAGGTAGGGTTAAATCCCAGTAAAATTGCCATATTGCACATGTCTTAATGAAGTTTGAATGTTAAATAAATTGTATATTCACTTTAAAAAAAATAAATGAACAATTTTTTCTAAGATGGTAACACAGAATTTGGGACATTTATAAGTTACCTCAAAAATAGACACCGGGGCGCCTGGGTGGCTCAGTTGGTTAAGCGACTGCCTTCGGCTCAGGTCATGATCCTGGAGTCCCGGGATCGAGTCCCGCATCGGGCTCCCTGCTCAGCAGGGAGTCTGCTTCTCCCTCTGACCCTCTTCCCTCTCGTGCTTTCTATCTCTCATTCTCTCTCTCTCTCTCAAATAAATAAATAAAAATCTTTTAAAAAAAAAATAGACACAAAGTGATCATTCAGAATTTTTGTTTTTTAAAAAGAGGTGCTCTTTCCCCCCCCCCCACTTTGGGGGTATTTGTTCTTTAAATAATGTATTGTGTAAAATATACTATAGGACACAGGATACTGTGTCTTCTTTTTGGAATTATCAATTTCTAACTTAAATTATAGAATTCTATTGCATTTCTTCTTTAATTTTAGGCCAATGCTTCATGAAAGGAGGCTTACTTTCTCTACTTCACAGTGTTCTGTGTAGACTTAGCAGAATCCACATGGGGACCAATGTACGCATGATTATGACAGTCACAATTCTACCTTTATTGCATCCTTGGAGCCCAGACAACCTAAGTCAGTGATGACAAAACCCTTTGGGAATACAATTTTAACATTTAACTTAAACTTCCAATGAGCTGAATTATTAAAAAAAAAAAATTAAACATCTATAGCCTCTATGGCCAGAGAACTACCCTAAATAATCAGAACACTGGGGTATAATTGGCTGGTAGCTCTTATAGCTAACTGGAAATTATCAGTCCATTTGCATATATTTGATGCAGAAGAGACTTTCTTGATATTGTAGATTGATTGCATTAACGGTCCTAATTACTGGCCTCTCATATTCATGGTTTTTCCTCTTTACGTTTGTGTTCCCCTCCCAATCTGACTGAGCTCAGTCAAGTGACTTGCTTTGCTTTGGCCAAATAGAAGCAAACTTGTTAAAAGCAGAGGCATGAAAGAGCATTTGGTCATTTATGTTTCTAATCTTATTTCTCTGAGATCTCGGTGAGAACCTACCCATTCTAGCCTTCTCAAGGAATCTGAGAAACAAACATGTAGAAAGGAGCTGAGATGTCCCAGCTGAGGTAATCCTGAACCAGTCCACAGTGAGCCATGTACGAGAACCCATCCAAGATCAGCAAAACTGCCCCCCCAACAACTAACCACAGAGAGTGAGCCCAGTTGAGCCCACAACCATCCAGCTGATCTATAGGCATGTGAATAATGATAAAGGCTTATTGTTTTAAAGTGCTGTGTTTTGTGAGGGTCACTGCATCTTATATTTTGGTGATAGATGACTAATACACTTTAAATAGGTAAAAAAAAAAAAAAATCTGAGTTTTCCAATTGGGACTTCCAATTATATGACTCAGAACTATTTTAAGAGGTCCAGGGAAGATGGGAATTCTACACTCATGTTTTCAACAGTGTGTATGTGTGTATGGGGCAGGGTATACCTGGTATTCCACAAAATCATCTATTTGGAAGTGGTATGAAAGATGTTAACATTTCTATTTATGTTAATAATTCTATTTGGGGAATATGTTTTATCACATATAGAATACATTATAGTAATTCATATACATAATTCATTAACATATACAAACATGTATTGGAGGCACATATTTTATTGATAGGTATGTACCCTCAAAAAAGTTCAGAGACCACTGATCTTGCTTCTGTTTACATAGGGTAATTTTCTTATTTAGCAAGAGTTCCTCATACTGTGGCTTTCATGATGGGTCATGTCTTCAGGAATGAAGACCAATTCATTGGCAAGGAGTCACTCTTCTCTTCTGAATCTGATGAGATTTTAAGTATTTTTAAAAAATTACTAGTATTCCTTTCCCTTGTATGATTCCATCCTGCGCAGCTGTTCTGTGGAACAGTAGTGGTTTATCTCTGTCCACCTTCTCTCCCACCTAAGTGTGTGCCACCACCCCATGGAAGATTCGATGGATATGGACATGAGCCCCCTGAGACCCCAGAACTATCTTTTTGGTTGTGAACTAAAGGCTCACAAGGATTATCACTTTAAGGTGGATAATGATGAAAATGAGCACCAGCTATCTTTAAGAACGGTCAGTTTAGGAGCTGGTGCAAAGGATGAATTGCACATTGTTGAAGCAGAGGCAATGAATTATGAAGGCAGTCCAATTAAAGTCATACTGGCAACTTTGAAAATGTCTGTACAGCCAACAGTTTCCCTTGGGGGCTTTGAAATAACCCACCTGTGGTCTTATGGTTGGAATGTGGTTCAGGGCCTATGCATATTAGCGGACAGCACTGAGTAGCTTTGGAGGAAGATGCAGAGTCAGAAGATGAGGAAGAGGACGTGAACCACCTGAGTTTATCTGGAAAGTGTTTTGCCCCTGGAAGTGGTAGCAAGGTTCCACAGAAAAAAGTAAAAACTTGCTGCCAATGAAGATGATGATGAAGATGATGATGATGATGATTCTGATGATGAGCAAGCTGAAGAAAAGGCTCCAGTAAAGAAATCTATATGAGATACTCCAGCCAAAAATGCACAAAAATCAAACCAGAATGGAAAAGACTCAAAACCATCAACACCAAAAACAAAAGGTCAAGAATCTTTCAAAAAACAAGAAGAGACTCCCAAAAACCGAAAGGACCTAGTTCTGTAGAAGATATTAAAGCAAAAATGCAAGCAAGTATAGAAAAAGGTGGTTCTCTTCCCAAAGTGGAAGCCAAGTTCATCAGTTATGTGAAGAATTCTTCTGGATGACTAACCAAGAGGCTATTCAAGATCTCTGGCAGTGGAGGAAGTCTCTTAAGAAAATAGTTTAAACAGTTTGTTAAAATTTTCCATCTTATTTCATTTCTGTAACAGTTGATATCTAGATGGCTGTCCTTTTTATAATGCAGAGTGAGAACTTTCCCTACTGTGCCTGATAAATGTTGTCCAGGTTCCACTGCCAAGAATGTGTTGTCCAAAATGCCTGTTAAAGATGGAACTCCACCCTTTGCTTGGTTTTAAGTATGTATGGAATGTTATGATAGGACACAGTAGTAGTGGTGGTCAGACAAATGGAAATGGTGGGGAGACAAAAATATACATGTGAAATAAACTCAGTATTTTAATAAAGTAAAAAAATTACTAGTATTCAGTTAAGGTAAACTGAAAAATAAATGTAGTAACTGTATAGTGATTTTTTTTTAATGCATTGTTTCTATATAGAACAATTGCATTGGGAAAATAGAACACAGTCTCTTTGACTTGAGAACACTTCTCAAATATTAATACCTTCACTGGCCATACCAGTTATGGTGTGGTATCTTACTAATACTTCAAGCTATATTACATATAAACTATTTTTACTACCAAATACCAGTAAACAATTATTTCAATGAGTATAAAGATTTAGGAGTATGTGATTTTTATAAGAGATTGCACATATTATTAATGGTTTACAGTGATTTTAAAATGCAGCTAATTTACTTTTTCACATAAACTCTAAAATAACTTCTTTATTGGAACTAAACTTAAACTAAAATGATCCATTAGTGAAACAGTAAGGAATGACACATTTATTTTTCAGATATAAGGAAACTGATAAGAAAGATATATTCTTCATGACTTTAGAGAGTAAAGATAAATGTTAAAATATAAATTCTACAAATTAACAAATAAAGATATATGACCTCCATTTCATAATCAATTTTACAAGGTGCTATATCTTTAAAAGGAAAGTAATTTAAAACTGTCAAATTTACTTCAGAATGGCTTTCTTATATATTAAATTCCTCTCTTAATGCTACCATATATAAATTTTTCTTTTCCCCCTACATCATTCTGCCAAGTCCATATACATTCAATATTTAAAGGTATTTTTAAAACACAAGTGATTTTTCTCCCCTTCACACAAAAATGTTTTCCTTCTTTTCTGCCCCAGAGTGTTAAGTATCATAGGCTACTGACTTTCTGAGAGCTCAGTTATAACCCTTTAAAGAAGGGTTGGAATACTGTGTACATGTTTATCCAGATGAGTTGTATTATTTCTGGAAAAAAATAAGAGCTTAGTGTAAAGTCTGATTTGCATACTGATTTCCATCATGTTTCAAGTTATGTCTAATCCCATAAAATGAAATTAATCTTTCAGTTCAGACTATTGCAGTTGGACTGGCAAATAAAAAGTTCAGGTTATTTAGAAAATTCATTGACTTACTGCCCAAATAAGAAACAAAGAACTAGAGCATGGCTAAGACGTTGTCCCCCCAACAATGAAGCAATCTAGACAGACAGCAGGGCTGAGGGATCCACAGAGGGAGTGGGACATGATGTAGAAGAACAAGTCTCTTCAGAGGCCCCACGGATTTGCCCCATGGATTTCAGCTCCCCATGCCTCTCCCCTATAATGAGTTCATCTGTCATCTATTTAGCTTTTGAGCCAACAGTCTATTGACTGGATGCAGACTCCAGGGACTGAGATGTACTTGGAAGATCTTCAGACAGACTCATCATGTGACATCGATGAAGCCTATCAATACACCACTTGGCGCTTCGAAGTTGTCTATGAGCAAACAGAGGACAAGCGATAGCCTGCAATGCACCTGCCTCCCCACAGTGTTAGGAGACTGAAGGAATGCATCCTTTCACGTCAACGTGAGTTCTGATAAATGAAGATGCCTGGTCAAGATAAGATATATTTTCTCATCCAGAGCTCTCAGAGTGACTGAAGTCATAGTTCACCACTCATCACAAAGCTTCTGTGCTTCCCTTTCTCAAAATGTCACATGCAAATATGTCATGAATAGATAAATGCAACCAATGTCAACGGAGTCAGCAGTGTCTTTGATGATAAATATAGGAGTGGAATATTTTATTTATTACATTTTCCTGATAATGGTACTATATTTTTAATGGTTATGAGTTTGGGTATCAGCATTTTTCCAAAACTCAAAAGGATTCATGTTCTGAGGACTAATA